TGACCTGGCGTACTTCTGGGTGACTTTCGTTCATTGCCTTATTTTATTCGCTAACTCGTCCACCTGGGGAAGGCTGTTCCTGAGAAAAAGCTGAATTTGGGAGCCCCAATTCCATTCGATTTAAATGCCTGTGCTCCGCAACAAGAGGAGCCACCGCAGTGAGAAGCTGGGGCACCGCCTGGCAGAGCAGCCCCGAGTTAACACAACTAGAGAAGGCCTGCACACAGCGAGGAAGACCCAGCACAGCCAAAAATTAATCAACTTTTAAAACAGAACTAACTATTCTTCAGTGACAAAATATCATCCCACACATCTCTAGCAATTAAAAACTGCATTTTAAGATGGGCTGATTCACCTTTAATACATATGTGTAAATTATTTTCCATAGTCGCCTCCAGAGCGGACTCATTGTATTTTGAGTTCTGTTTTTCTCAGCTACTACAGGGTCTAGACCACTAAAAAGTACACCCTAGAGAATACATAAAAAATATACCTGAGGGCTCCCAGTAGGGTCCTTCCAGCTATTCACCAGGCTTGTTCCTAAGAACTCAGTCACTCGGGTCCTGTCGGCAATCTTACTAGACAGGTGATGTTGGGGTGATGTTGAAAATATCTAACAATTGCACCAAGGTACTGGTGCAAGGTACTGATGTCAAAATAGATATTGCCTTTAAACCTGCTTGGGCACGCTGGTATCCACAGGCTAATTTCAGGCCCTCCAGGTCAGGGGCACTGTTGGAGGCTCCTTGGCCTGCCAAGCCCTGCCACCACAGGCTGTCATTAATGAATGTCTGCTGCTGTGGTGACAGCCTAGAGGTGGTTTGTGACAAGCGGCAGTCTTCCCTAACCTCTCGGGGTGACATGACATTAAAGGGGAGAAGGTCCCTGCTATGTGAGTCAAACACCACCCACCCAGAGTTGGCAGTGGGACAGCTTCCGCCATATTTGTTTAGAGGTTTCTCCCTAACCTGGGAAATCCTACAGACAGAGGAGCTACATACAGTCCATCGGGTCGCAAAGAGTCGGACACGACTTAAACCACCACCACAAGTCCCGGAGAAGCCATTTACCCAGGTCTCACTGTCACAAAGCCCCTCAAATTTAGATTTTTGATATGATTTCCAAGTGAGGTTAAATGTACAGACCCAAAGATAAGCTGACTGAAGAGAAAGAGAAGACGGTTATCTTTAAATTTGGTCTTATTTTCAGAAAAAAGCATCTATAGTCCCTCATAAATTCAAATGTCTATAAACTCTGCCATTTCCTTGGGAATATCAAGCCGTACACAACTTTTTTGTTTTCTGCTGTTGTGACTGCCATTTATTTGTTAGATACACATGCTTTTCAAAGCACAAGCTTTGTCTCAGGCTTTGTCACTTTTGCTTTTGATACATATATACTGTATATGGTTTATTAAAAATAATCCCCACCCCTCTCCCCGGGAAAAAAAAGAAAAAAAAAAAATCCCCTGCCTTTTAAAAGGTATAGTTGATTTATACTATTGTATTAGCTTCATATGTCACTTTTTAATATGTGGAAAGCCTGGGAAAATGGGAATGGTCAATGTCTGGGTCTTCCCAAAGTAACTTCCCAACATTGGTCTCACAGTCAAAGCTCTGTTATCAGGTCAAGGTGGTCAGTCTGATCTTCTCTTCCCTGAAAACAAGTCTATTCCCCAAAGTCTGCTCAGTCTATCTTATAAGTAAACTTCCCTTTGGGCTGTCTGAGGAAGTCTGAGAAGGCCAAGCCCGACTCAACTCAAGAGGGACCAGTTTAGGCTAATTCTGAGAGCCCAAGGCTCACAGTCGGAGCACAGTAAATATGCCCCAACCTCAAAAACATGAGCTGCATAACCAGAGCAGCTATGGACCTGAGGCTTGCTAATGTGATCCTGACCCAGGAGCCAGCTCAGGGCCCCAGGGGATGCGAGGGGAGCAGAGAAGCAGCCAGGCCACAGGTTCTTCTTTCCACACTTCCCCCCTTTCCTCTAAAGAAGTGCCACACTTACCCATCTCACACACTGACCACCTCCTCACACTCCATTTGCAGAAACGAGTCCACAGCTTTAAACATGTTTGAGGACAACTGCCACAGCGCAGTCACCTAGGTAGCAGAGGTATGCATTTCTTACGTCTCAGACTGCGGGACTGCGGCAGCTCAGGTTGAGAAGGGTCTGGGAGGGGATGAAGGCAGTCAGGGTCGCTAACTCGATGAGCCTAGCTCCAGTGATCTGGGCTCCAGTACATGGCGCAGTTGGATCTGCGGTGTGGAAAACGTGCACTCACACAACGAGTATTGTTCTGTTTCTGGCCTTTTGGGCAGATCTGAGAGGGAAAGGCGGAGAGAGTGGGGTAATGGGGGACTTAAGGAAACCCTCTTCCTAGCCAGTTGTTGAATCATGACTTAGAGGAGCCTGTGAGACGCAGCAGCTGAGAGGAAGGAGCAGGCCCCGCTGGGCCCCAGGCTGCCAGGGTCCGCTTTGCTCAGCCACCCCCTGAACTTGGGCTAGCCACACATCTTCTGGACCTCTGCTCTCCCTATGTGAGGCGCTCTAGCCATCCATGTTTCTCGCCTCATCTATATCTGTTGCTGGCTTTAAGTATCAAGATTTCAAATTGAGTTCAACCTTGCCCTACAAGGTCAATTATAACATGTCTATGAAAGTTGAAATGTTTACTAAAAATGCACCCATTTAAGCCATAGCTTCTTGAAAATGAATTTAAAGTCATTAGCTTCTAGCCACTGGAACAAAGCATTCCTTCCAGTTTAGAGGGTTTGGCCAAGGAGAACCTGCCAACCCTTTTCACTTTGCACAATAGCATTAAGGGGTGCAATCACTGGGGTTTTGTCTTGTTTCATTTTTCAGTATCTCAAATGCTTTAATTACCTTATCCTGGGTTTATAACTCGTTCCTCTTTGCACATTATTTTCCATCTAGGAATATAGAACAACTTGCTACCTTCAAATGCAGGAAAAGAAGGATAATTATTAAGCATATTTTAAACACTTGAAGTTTCCTGCATGAAGCTATGGAAGTTTAAAATGTAAAGAAGTTGAAAGAACTTTTTGTCAAATATTTCATTTGACATCTTTGTATATCAGACAAAAATACAACCCCAATAGAAGAGGTGAACTAACTTGTCAAAACAGCTGAACATGTCCATACTATGTGTCCATTATAATTGCCTTTGGGTACCAAGAGTGTCGAAGACAATTTAGGAAAATTTATGAAAGTAATAATAAGGTTTGTATTTGTCTAAATACAAGCTGCATATAGCACCCATCAAAGCTATATTCATCAAGGAGTTAAGAAAAGCATTTAAGTTTCTTCTTCTACATGATCAAGATTCATTTAAAGTTAAATGTAAAAGACAATTGATGGTGTTTATTCATTTAGTGTTTCTTTTCAACAGTTTAAAGTAAATTGTGTGTGTTCAATCTTTAGAAACACACATACTTGCTTTCCATTGTGAACTTGGACAATCTGACCTATTAAAAGGACACTATGCTTTCAAAGACATATTAAAATGAAATAGTCCATTTTTGACTGTTACCATGGAGGCCCCTCCAGCATAAAGTTTGTTTTCAACTTCTTTGCAACATTTATCACTGACTCTATATAGTTAATGCTTTTGTCGCTATTACCACCTCAACTCACCCTCCAGCTCAGTCTTGCAAGAATTCAGAGAGAACTTCGCCACTCCTTCTCTACTCCCCAATACAAGTTTCTTTTGTTTGTTCTTGGACTTAGATCATACTTAGAGAAAGTGGCAGCTCGGCTGAAGAGAGGACTGGGTCGTAGTGTAAGGGACCCCAGATACCAATTCTTGACTAGAAGGAGGGAAGCTAGAGAGGGCTGAGCTGGAGGGCAGGGGAGAAGGAGAGCTTCTCCATTTATGAGGAGGGGTCGCTTGGTGCTTCAGTTCCAATGTGGATTGATTTCCAAGATCAGACAATCCCACCAGGCAAACCTAAGCATACAGGGGACTTCCCCTGGAGGTCCAGTGGTTAAGACTTTGCCAGGGAACTGGGGAACTAATACTCTGCATGCAATAAATAAACCAAATTAAAACAAAATTATTTTAAAATAACAATTGTTTTTAAAAAAAAAGTATACAGCTCCATCCCAAGGTGAAAGATAAATGCTTTTTGTATTTATTTGGTGGTTTGGATTATTCATGAAATTCTAATATATGGCCTGGGAATGTATTATAAGATTAGAGGGAGCAGAGCTGAGAGAAGCAGGGGAAGGCGCATTATTTGTGTTTGATTTCATTTCACATTACAATGAGTTGCTATTCCTTTGAAGACTAACTGATCAGGAGAGGCAACTAAATGTGGGCAGTGTGTTTGTGAAAATTGTTAATATGGAAGTGAATATGGTTTAGCAAAGTTAACTGAAATGAATGAAAACTTTTCCAAATTTCATCTCCAGAAGGAAAAGTATTAAACAAACCTCAGTCTAACATGCCAGTTTTAAAGAAAGCAGGAGCAAGTAAGCAGACGTTTTAGACTGCAAATAAGGCTCAAATTCATTACAAAAAGACACTGGGCACTTAAAAGGAAAGTTGAATTTATTGATTATGTAACTAATAATTTTAGGAAGCCTTCTTAAAATGCTAGTTTTTAAAATGGAGGTTAGAATGTCCAATTGTTACAGATTATTCATGTGTGACAAGAAATGAAAAAAAAAATGTGTGTATGTGGGGTTGTGTGGGGGAGTCTTCATCGGCGCGATTATCTTGCCAGTCAATTTCTCCAAAGGAAGGAGATTTATCCCTGATACAGCCCACACAGAGGAGGGGACCCGGCTTAGGAGGAGTGAGACTTCAGTCTTCACATTAGAGCTCCTTGCCGCTTCTCCCACCAGATCCTGCCCCCTTGTCTCCAGGCACCTTGCACGCTCATGTGGACACGCACACGCACACGCACGCACACGAGTGAGGCACGCGTCCAGCGCGCTCCTCTCGCGGTCCCCCGGCCAGGCTGCCTCGCTTTACCTCGCGCCCAGGGAGGATGCGGGCCGCCGCTGGCTCTGTCGCTGCCATCAGCCTCCGCCGCGCGCCCCTTCGGTTTCAGCAGACTGGGGCCCTCTGCGTTTTCAACAGGTACCATGGTCACGTAGAAGTTACAGCCGTTCCCCGGGCACCAAACCGCCCCGACTTCCCCGGCTGACACGAGCGGTCACTTTCCCCATGGTTGCATGCTAAAGAAAGGTGGGGAAGAAAGGAAAAAAAAACTTCGAGCAAAGCCAATGTGATTTGTGACCAACTTTGTTTCTATTTCCGAAAGCTTTGCCCTTTTCGGTGACACACGCCGTTGCTATTCCAAGCAGCCTATCACAGGCGGTGGGAGGGCCGAATCTCCCGAGGATTGTTTTTGCCTGCAGATGCAGAGTTGGAAGCAAAGGATTGCAAGGCTTGGGAACCTGAGCTCTGACAGTGTTTGGCCCTTCGGTAGTGGGGAGCTCTCCTCTGTCTGCACCTTTGAAAAGAGGCAGAGAAAAGAAGCAGGCAGATCCAAGCGCAAGCTGAGGGAGGGCCTGGAATACTCACAGATGGTATTAGTTAATCTTGCAGAGGGAGGAACAATTTATGCAGAGACACACCAGAAAGGAAAATGTGTCAATTTTTCTGCAAGACTGTTATTCCAAGAGTCATGACACTTAGGGAAGTCAACAAAGCCTGAAGCATAGCCATTGTTTCAACCTGATGCTACACTAGGTAAGCACCATACATACTCGCTCTCTCCAAGGCTTGATGGAGGCCTGAGACCAAGCATAGGCAAAGTCAGAATGCACAGATTCTTTGGACTTTTTGCACCCCGGGGTTACAGCAAAATAATCCAGTTTATTTATGCATAGTTGTTTAAGGGAGGAACTGACCCTAAATTTCTTACTGGGTTGCCAGATAGCCTGATGGCAGAAGGAGGGGCATTTCCAATTCTGAAAGGCTAGACTTTATGGTCCATGGTGTGGCTGTGGTATCATCCAATCTGGAGCAAAATCAGGGCCTGAGAAAAAGGACTCCCCCCCTCCCCCGATTTGTGACTATATTTCTATAAAAGGCCTTATAGAGTTATGACATTTTACTTTCAGTTATATACTTAGCAAATCATATTTCTTGAAAAAGCTTAGAGAAGAAATTGGGATCACTTTTGAAAATCATTAAGAGTGAAAACTAAAACTTGTGGAGCACTAATGTGCCTGAAATTATGCTGAGGGCATTAACTCAAATGGTTCTTTTGGGGGAGGGGAGAAACTGCAGGGCAGGTACCCATAGTACAGAGCAGAAAATGGAGGCAAAGTGGCTCACCTCAAAAATAGCAGCTAGCCTGTGGTATAGCTGAGACCAGGAAGCCAGGTGATCTAATGCCATAACGCTTATATGCTAACTTTCAAGCCTTGTGCTTCTCTGATTTTCTTGGTTTCTGTCACTTTCAGCACTTCTTGACCTGAAGAAGATGAACTACAGCTTTTGGTCCTTGTCATTTCTGTGGACAGAGAAACAAGTCTGTGCTTGCAGAGGCAGAAGCTGAACTGTGCCATCACTTTCATCATTTTGGCTGGATCCTAACACACCTCTAAATTAGCTTATGATTTATACATTTCCTTTGCTCATCGTTAGATGTTTCCATGTATTTCTTTTTCTTCAGAGAATCAGGCAGCAAATGGAAACAAACCTGTGTGGATCCAGCTAGTGTTTATTATGCACCTGTTATATGTCAGCTGCTAGTGCTGGAAAATGACAGTTATTCGAGTGTAGCCCAGCCCCCTTCCGATTCAGAGGTGAGTGGTTCAGACTCCAACAGATCAGCCTGTCCCCACTATAGAATGTGTGGTGCGGTGATGCTGTGGCTTGTGTCTGTTCCCAGGATGTGTTATCATTGTAGGAGCAACAGGTTTTTATTTTGTTTTTTTTTTTATCTTCAAGACACACATATTCTAATCAGCTCTTGGTAGTTTCTTGGCTTCTATCTTCTCTCTGCTGGGAATTGATGACCTCGGCTGGGGACATGTTCTTGTGATGGATCAGCTGTATAATTGCTTTTGTTTAATGATCTCAGGCCCCGTGTCTCCAGCAGCTTCCTGGCACCATGGGTGTGTTGGGGGTGTTTTCTGTAGTCTTTGACCAAGTAGAAGATAAACCTAATTCTGGAATCCTTTACTATGGTGAAGAGCAATTCAGCAATTCTCAGTTTGCTTTCTGTAGCTGAACCACATGGGACCTCCTAGGGCAGAAACCAAGGAGACGTGCAAAGGAGTAGCAGACAACGTGACTGCCACATTGCTGCTGGTGCCTCTGACCCTGTTCTTTATTTCGTTGTTGACCCAGCGTGGGCCACTAGTTCTCCCCAGCTCTGTTCTCTGCTCACTTCTCTCTTTTAAACAGAGCAAAGTCTTAGGAGAAAAAGTCTTTTCTCCCAGACTAATGGGAAATATTCTTCTGACAAAATTTCCTGAAGAACACTGTACTTCTCCTTCATAGTATTTTGTACACTTACCGTGTGACAGTTTCATTATAGTTACATACAGCAGTTTGATTCAGCCTTCCTTTTTTTCTGCTAGATCACAGGTTCTGTGACAGCGGACTGTGTCTGTTTGGTTCACTATGGACATTCCAAGTTCCTGGCACAGAGTGAATACACAGTAAATATTTGCTGGATGACAGACTGATTCCTGTAAATCCAACTAACTTTAGCATGACTAGAATGTAAGCTCCATGAGGGCAAGCCCCTATGTCTATCCTGAGCATTCGTTCATCTCTGTGTCCCTAGTTCTAAGCATAGTGCCAGACATGCAGCAAACTCTCAATAAATACATGTTAAATAAGCGACTGCTCACATATGGGCTGTTAGTGACCTGATTAACTATGTAGTTTTTAAAAACCTCTTTGACTACTTTCTGTAACACTTTGTCCTTTTTTTCTTTATGGGGGCTCTCTTTAAAGCAAATATCGCCACAGGCTGTCCCTCTTTAATGGAATTTGAGCCACTACTATCATTAAAAACTGTTCCTCCACTTAAGGAAGATATAATCAACAGATGGACTGTTCATCTCCCATAATTCCAATAATTTTGCTACATACCATTTCAGACTGGGCTTCCTTGATGACTCAGTGGTAAAGAATTCACCTGTCAATGCAGGAGATGGGGGTTTTGTCCCTGGGTGGGGAAGATGCCCTGGAGAAGGAAATGGCACCCTACTCCAATATTCTTGTTAGGAAAACCCATGGACAAAGGAATCTGGAAGGCTATAGTCCATGGGGTTGCAAAAGAGTCAGACATGACTTAGCGATAAAACAACAGCAACCAGCATTTCAGACCACCTGCTCATAGGTAATGCTACCAAATCCCAAACTATACATTACGGCTTATAAACTGACAAGGCAAATAAGAAGAGATGAAGAAGAAGGTAAGCAGCCTCACAAGGCTGTGGACCTCTGCTGGGTATCCTCCAGGTCTATTTTTATGATGATTTTTCTTAAACCTTGCAACAACTTTGTGAAGTAAAGACTACTGCCTTTATTTGGCAGAAATTGAAACTGAGAGGTTTATGAAACATGTCACAGATCAAAACAAACAAACACACAAAACCACGTTCCAATATTTCATCCTGAAAATTTTCAATCTAGGAAAACCTAGATTCTATAATCAACATTTTACTATACTTGGTCTTTCTCCTGTGTGCCTGGATTTTAATCCCTCTATCCATCCATGGATTCATTTTAGATTTTATACATTTTAAAGTAGGTTGAAATACTTTGGTATGTGTGTCATTAACTAGAGTCCAGTAATTGTTTAGGTTCTTTCTTTTTCTTTGAGACATTTTACATACAACAATATGCACAAATCCCATGTGTAACATTATATAAATTCAGAGACGCACATACGTATGTCCACTCCAAACCTCTACTAAGTTACAGAACATGACTATCATCCAATAAGTCCCTTTATGTCTTTTCTGAGTAACTTCCCATCAAAACCCCTAGAAGTAACCAATGTTCTGATTTTATCCACATGGGTTAACCTTCCCTGGTCTAGCTCCTCATAGAATGGAATCAAAGAGTATATACTCCTGCGTAAAGCTTCTTTCACTGACCATAATTTTTACATTCATCCATATGTTTGTGTGTATTAGTAGATTATTCTGCTTATTGCTGACTAGTATTCCATGGGTAAATATATCACAGTTTATTTATCCATTTTCCTACTGATGGGCACCTGGGTTGTTTTGTTTGGGCTATTATAAATAAAGTTGTTATGAGCATTCTTGCACAAGTCTTTTTGTAGAACATAGCATTTCAAAGCACAGCAGTCCAAATCCATTTGATTCCAAAACTCACATGCTTTCCACCACACCCTGTTGCTTCTCTGTGGTGCCTCCCATTGCCCTATGTTTTTGTAAAATGTACCTCCTGAGTTTTTATCCTAAAATAGTTCGTTACAATGTAAACACAAATGGCAAATGTGATCTCTGGACAAAAGCTATCCAGATACCAATGCAGGTCTTTTTAGCCATACTCCAATAAAACATTCATTTGGTAGGAGTTTTTTGGAAGAATATTTATTACTTTACATGTTCATACTATCCAAATAAGTTTTTCTAAGGGTATTCAATATTTTTAATGAGTAGAATAGTAATAGTTACAAGATATTGATTAAATTTCCTCAGATTACAAAAGAAGTCTGATTAAATTCATTCTATGTCCAGTTGATATAAAATTATAAAATAAATTGTTAAAAGAAGGATAATACAGGAATATAATAAAATGTTATTTCTATTATTTGAAATGAAAAAAATCAGAGTAAAAAACTGCATGCTGATTACCACCATAACAATGTTTTTTTAAAGTATGCTTATTGGCAGAGACAAGAAGGGAATTTGGAAAAATTGAAAATAACAAATACACTGAGTTCTTAGGTCACAGAAGGAATTTAGACTAGTCCTAATCATGGGTAAATCATGTGTAAAAAGTATTTTCTGAAAAAATGTTTTCTTAATGTTGTTATAATACTGTCTATCTAATAAGTATAAATCTGAAGAAAAGTACTTCAAATTAGGATTGCCATAAATCGTTGTACAAGACATACATCACACAGTTATAGGTGGGCCATTCCCATTCTCTTAGACAGAAATTTGTTTATTTGTAAAACAAATTTTCCAGAAAATTGAAGTTAAAATGTAATTTGCACAGAGATCCATTTGAGCAATTAATGGGGCTGTTCAAATTATGATCTTCCTCTGCTTTGCAACGTCTTATCTTTTAGTTCAACCTATATCTGCTTTTGTATTGCTTAGCTCTATGAGTACCCTTCTCCATTCTATTACCTATTTTTCCAATTAAATTATTCCCAATTTTTAAATTTTCCTCAGTACTATTACCATGCTCTTTGGATGGAGGCACCCAAAAAGAGTTATTCAATCACCAAGGCTTTCCTTTAGGTTATCTTTCTTTTTATGCCATAATGGCAGGGAAAAAAAAATTACTCTTTATTCCCCATACTTGAAAAGTATTTGGTTTGAGTGTCTTGTGTGTGTGTGCTAAGTAACTTCAGTCTTGTCCAACTCTTTGCTATCCTACAGACTCTAACCCACCAGGCTCCTCTGTCCATGGAATTCTCCAGGTGAGAATAGTGGGGTGGGTTGCCATTTCCTCCTCCAGGGGATCTTTCCAACCCAAGGATTGAACCTGGGTCTCCTGCATCACAGGCAGATTCTTTACCATCTGAGCCACCAGGGGACCCGACCCCTATTCCTACCGTCACTGTCTAAATCCAGAGCACTCTCCACCTCCCGTGTGGACAATGGTAGTGACCTCCAACTGGTCTACCTGGCTGCATTTTTTTTTTACCCCCAAAGCCCATTTTCCATGCTACAGCCAAGACTTTTGCCTAAAATCTAGACCCTTAAATGGTTCCAGTTGTTTTAAACCTTTGACCAGCTGCCAACTGTTCTTGGGACTGGTCTACATTTCTTAATGAGTCCTAAAAGGCCCAACATGATCTGGCTTCAGCGGATTTCTCTGGATGCATCTCCTGCTGCTTCCTCACTGAAAACTCTGAGATCTAGTCCCATCTTGGACTTTATGATGGGCCAGTGCCTCCTTGACCTCGTATACTTTTAGACATTCTCACTCCTCACTGTAGTCGCCTCAGTCTCTCCCCCAGCACAACTGACCAAACTAGGAATAGAGTTCCCATGTTCAGGGAGCCAAAGGGATGAGCCAGGAGCCTCTCTTTGGGGGTCTTCTCTCTCTAAATTAAATTAGAGATTGGTTATGTATCAGTCAGATTCCTCTTGAAACTGTAAACAGGAAGGAATTTAACACAGGGAACTGGGGGCTTAAAAAATCATTGGAAGGCCTGAAAGATTCTATTCCAATCATTGAGAAATGACTCCCAGATTAATACAGGGCAGACTCATCAGCTGAGCTCTATATCTAAGGCTGCCTAATGGAGCAATGAGTTCAAGATGCATTGTTTAAATCTAGGCATCAGTTTTAAACACAACTACCCCACAACTGTGGGCTTCGCAAGTGGTACAGTAGTAAAGAATCCACCAGCCAATGAAGGGATATAGGAGATGAAGTTTCGATCCCTGGGTCAGGAAGATTCCCTGGAGGAGGAAATAGCAATCCACTCCAGTATTCCTGACTGTGAAATCCCCTGGACAGAGAAACCTGGCAGACCACGGTATATGGGGTCACAAAGAGTTGGACACGACTGAGCATGCACGCATGCATCCCACATCTGCATTCTCCAGGAAGTTATAGATGTCAAATACCTCCTCAGGAAAATCTCACATCTGCTTAATCTCATAGGCCAGTGGAAACTCCCAAGGAGGGAAAGAAAATAGCCTCCCATCATATCTACCTTCTTCTTCCTTTTTTTTTTAATGTCTACCATTTTGCATTTGCTTCCAACTGATGTCTAGAGCCTGATTGCAAAGAACTCTGGGAAATGTAGTTTTCTAATCTATTCAAGAAGAAGGAGGATGGAATGGAAGTTGAAAGGGCCACTCTACTGTATCCACCAATGGTGGGTGAATGTTTGGATTAATATGAAGTGAAGCCTGGGGTCAGAGCCATGTCAGGTCAAAATCTGTGCAAGCCAGAGTTATGGTAGAGGCAGCAGAGATGTGCAAAATAAGAGAAAGCTGGGTGGAGAGGGAGCAAGAGAATGAAAAATCATAAAGTGAAACAGAGAGGTGGAATTCTCAGGTCAGGCCCCAGGAGAATGGTCTTGGCTTTTGACTTTCTATGAGGTCTGGCTGGGCTCTATACTTGCCCTTCAGTATTTGAGGAATTGGGCGGTATGATCTCCTTTCCCACTTCCTCCACAGCCCCCTTCACCAGATGCCTCAGTATTCTCTGTCCTCCC